CCTTCCTTCCTTCCTTCCTTCCTTCCTTCCTTCCTTCCTTCCTTCCTAAATTTTGAGATAGGTTCTCACTAAGTTGCTGAAGGTCTTGATAAGTTGTTGGAACTGTCCTTGAATGTGAGAACCTCCTGACTCAGCCTCCCAATTACAAAGTATGTGCTACTATGCTCAGCAGAAACTTGTTTATTTAAAAAAAAAACATAGAAATGGACTTTGTCTTGCTACAATCTAACCACTAGATAATAATAATATCATTTTTGAAATGCTAACTATATCACAAATGAATATTAATGAATAATGTTTACAGTTTCAAAGCTTATATTTAAGATTACTTTTTTTGAGAGAGAGAAAGAGAGAGAATTTTTTAATATTTATTTTTTTAGTTTTCAGCGGACACAACATCTTTGTTTGTATGTGGTGCTGAGGATCGAACCTGGGCCGCACGCATGCCAGGCAAGCGCGCTACCGCTTGAGCCACATCCCCAGCCCCTATTTAAGATTATTATTTTTTTTTAAAAATTTTTTATTGTTGGCTGTTCAAAACATTACATAGTTCTTGATATATCATATTTCACACTTTGATTCAAGTGGGTTATGAGCTCCCATTTTTACCCCATATACAGATTGCAGAATCACATCAGTTACACATCCATTGATTTACATATTGCCATACTAGTGTCTGTTGTGTTCTGCTGCCTTTCCTATCCTCTACTATCCCCCCTCCCCTCCCCTCCCCTCCCCTCTTCTCTCTTTGCCCCCTCTACTGACATTCATTTGTCCCCCTTGTATTATTTTTCCCTTTCCCCTCACTTCCTCTTGTATGTACTTTTGTATAACTCTGAGGGTCTCCTTCCATTTCCATGCAATTTCCCTTCTCTCTCCCTTTCCCTCCCACCTCTCATCCCTGTTTAATGTTAATCTTCTTCTCATGCTCTTCGACCCTACTCTGTTCTTAGTTACTCTCCTTATATCAAAGAAGACATTTGGCATTTGTTTTTTAGGGATTGGCTAGCTTCACTTAGCATAATCTGCTCTAATGCCATCCATTTCCCTGTAAATTCTATGATTTTGTCATTTTTTAATGCAGAGTAATACTCCATTGTGTATAAATGCCACATTTTTTTTATCCATTCATCTATTGAAGGGCATCTAGGTTGGTTCCACAGTCTTGCTGTTGTGAATTGTGCTGCTATGAACATCGATGTAGCAGTGTCCCTGTAGCATGCTCTTTTTAGGTCTTTAGGGAATAGACCGAGAAGGGGAATAGCTGGGTCAAATGGTGGCTCCATTCCCAGCTTTCCAAGAAATCTCCATACTGCTTTCCAAATTGGCTGCACCAATTTGCAGTCCCACCAGCAATGTACAAGTGTACCCTTTTCCCCACATCCTCGCCAGCACTTGTTGTTGTTTGACTTCATAATGGCTGCCAATCTAACTGGAGTGAGATGGTATCTTAGGGTGGTTTTGATTTGCATTTCTCTGACTGCTAGAGATGGTGAGCATTTTTTCATGTACTTGTTGATTGATTGTATGTCCTCCTCTGAGAAGTGTCTGTTCAGGTCCTTGGCCCATTTGTTGATTGGGTTGTTTGTTCTCTTATTGTCTAATTTTTTGAGTTCTTTGTATACTCTGGATATTAGGGCTCTATCTGAAGTGTGAGGAGTAAAGATTTGTTCCCAGGATGTAGGCTCTCTATTTACCTCTCTTATTGTTTCTTTTGCTGAGAAAAAACTTTTTAGTTTGAGTAAGTCCCATTTGTTGATTCTAGTTATTAACTTTTGTGCTATTGGTGTCCTATTGAGGAATTTGGAGCCCGACCCCACAGTATGTAGATCGTAGCCAACTTTTTCTTCTATCAGACGGCGTGTCTCTGATTTGATATCAAGCTCCTTGATCCATTTTGAATTCACTTTTGTGCATGGCGAGAGAAAGGGATTCAGTTTCATTTTGTTGCATATGGATTTCCAGTTTTCCCAGCACCATTTGTTGAAGATGCTATCCTTCCTCCATTGCATGCTTTTAGCCCCTTTATCAAATATAAGATAGTTGTAGTTTTGTGGATTGGTTTCTGTGTCCTCTATTCTGTACCATTGGTCCACCCGCCTGTTTTGGTACCAGTACCATGCTGTTTTTGTTACTATTGCTCTGTAGTATAGTTTGAAGTCTGGTATCGCTATACCGCCTGATTCACACTTCCTGCTTAGCATTGTTTTTGCTTTTCTGGGTCGTTTATTTTTCCATATGAATTTCATGATTGCTTTCTCTATTTCTACAAGAAATGCCGTTGGGATTTTGATTGGCATTGCATTAAACCTATAGAGAACTTTTGGTAATATCGCCATTTTGATGATGTTAGTTCTGCCTATCCATAAACAGGGTATATTTTTCCATCTTCTAAGATCTTCTTCTATTTCTCTCTTTAGGGTTCTGTAGTTTTCATTGTATAAGTCTTTCACCTCTTTTGTTAGGTTGATTCCCAAGTATTTTATTTTTTTTGAAGATATTGTGAATGGAGTGGTTGTCCTCATTTCCATTTCAGAGGATTTGTCGCTGATATACAGGAATGCCTTTGATTTATGCGTGTTGATTTTATATCCTGCCACTTTGCTGAATTCATTTATTAGCTCTAATAGTTTCTTTGTAGACCCTTTTGGGTCTGCTAGGTATAAAATAAGATTATTTTTGTATGCTTTTTTTTCTTCCTTCCCGGTACTAGGGATTGAGTCCAGGACCTAGCCCTGGCTAGGCAAGTGTTATACCACTGAGCTCCATCACCAGACCTTTTTTATTTTACTTTGAGATGGGGTCTTGATAAGTTGCTTGCCTTGAAATTGTAATCCTCCTGCCTTCAGCCTCCCAAAGTTATTAAGATTACAGGCATATACCAATATATGTGCACCTGGCAATATAGGTATTTGAAAGTTAACACATGTAGAAAATCTAAAAGTTGGTCCAAATATCTGCATTTTACAGATGAAGATTCATCTAAGAAGGTTTTAAACAAATCATACAAGGTTATGCTTTTGTGAGGCCAGAATTAAAAACCCAAGGTCTACATGACACCAAGTCCAAATACTTAACTCTTATGCTAAACAGACTTCCAAAAATAGTGTTCATTTAATTCTTCCAAACCTCCTTCTTGAATTTCCTGATGCTGTTTTTTTTTAAATATTTGCTTTGTTTTAGTTGTAGTTGGACATAATACCTTTACTCTATTTTTATGTGTTGCTGAGGATCGAACCCAATGCCCCACATGTGCTAGGCGAGTGCTCTACTGCTGAGCCACAACCCCAGCCCCCAGTAAAATGCATGTATTTGCTCACTGATCTGCATTCACTATTTGTTCTAATATGTTTGAGGAGTCTCTCTCTTGCCTCCTCCAAGTTTCTTAACTGCCATGTTAGTATTCAGGAACATATTACAATAAGGCAAACACTAACATGTCAGCAAGAGGTGCTACAAGTATTGTGTATGTGATTCAGTAACAGAATGGACAGGAGAAAGAACTTCCATTAACATGGCTAACTATACTTTTTGGTTTGACCCAAAATTATGGTATATTTACATTCAGCAATTGTTTTCAATTGTCCATGTGGATCCATTTCTAGCTGACATTTATTTAGCAATTCTATGAAAATTTCAACTTAAAAACAAGTATGCCTTTGAGACTCTCCCTTTACTCAACTCCTGTGTGTACTTAAAAAAATGCCAGTTGCTTCCTCTTAATTCTCCTTCTCACGTGACAGTTGTGTGACATGAAAATGGATTTTACGGTTTAGTGCTTCATTAATGTGCAGCCACCCTACAGATCACAATAGTCCATTTTCAGGAAAGATAATTTTTCTTTATTAATGAGTCCCATCATGGAAAAAAACCCAGAAATCTGGGGCACATTTTGGAGAGTATTCAATTATTGGCAAGACCTTAACAGTTTTTACTTAACCTGTGTATTTGCAATGATCCCTTCAAAGAAAAATGATTCAAAAGTGCTGCAAAATTAAAATAATAATCAAAATTTTGTCACCTTGTTTTTTATTTACACGCAATTCTAGTGAAAAGCCACATTGTGGGCTGGGGATATATATAGCTCAGTTGGTAGAGTGTTTGCCTTGCATGCCAAGGGCCTGAGTTCAATCCCCAGCAACACACACACACACACACACACACACACACACACACAAAGCCACATTGTGAGATATACATTCAATTAATGGTAGATTTCATGAAGGCCATGGATTTATGGAAAAGTTAGCCCATATAGGGGTTATTTCCTAAAGAAAGGAATTTAAAGTTTGGACCTAGACCCTCATTGGAGGTGGAGTTTCCCTCTAGTTAGTTTCAACACATTTTACTTTTAACTAAGAACTTTTCCCTTGCCTGGTCTCATTTAATCACACAGGGAAATAGCTATTTTTGCTAGAGAAAGAAAATAATGAAAAGTGGTTTTGTAAAACTGGAGCAAAAATATGAAAGCATTTAAATCACTAAACTTGTGTCAGATTAAATATCCATTAAATAGGGATGCCAGAAAAATACTTATCTTCTTTAGATTCTGAAAGGTAAATTGTGTGCAAATATAACCAGAACAAAGCATGTGGGTGAAAGTCCATGCATTTGTTGGAGGGTTTGGAGCCCAAAGCTGAGGGATTTGTTTGTATCGAGGAAGCCCCTGTTCCTCCTGTAAGGAACCCCTGTTCTATTTAAAGGTGATTACTTTGAGAGCAACTTGGAGCTGTCCCGAAAAATCTGGCTTATTCTCCCACCAACCCTAAAAAGAATCTTATTAGCACTGGCACTGATGTTTCATAGCAGTCAAGAGAGTAGTCTCAGGAGGTATAGCAATTTTGTTCTGGCTCCCCTTGTTTCTAGCTGACTATCCATGGGTAGGTTAGTTTCTCTGAGTCTTTTTAGTAAAATGAGAAAAATATATCTTATTTCCATGTCATCATGAGGCTTAAATGTAAGAATGCACATCAATTTCCCATGACAGTGCCTGGTATATAACCTACTCTCAATAAGTCAAAGTTTCACAATTAAATCTGGTCTTGGAACACTGTCTCTGGAGCCCTGGCTGTCACTGTAATGTTAAGAAGATTCCACTGCATGTAGGGGCCTGGACTTAGAAAGAGCTTTGTGGCTTCAGCTTAATGAGACTCTCAATCTGTGTTTCTGTTATTGAAGTCAGACAAACTGATGGGTTGACTCTCTGATCTATTTTCAAAGATTGCTCCCTGGTTGGCAAGTGTTCAATTTACAAGAACGATCACTCACTTTGCAGACATATTGCCTGGTCTCAGCAGCATAGTGTTTCTCACTGTGGCTCATTTTTAAGTTTAATATTCTTGACAGAATGCCCAAGTTGATCATTGCCACAGGTAAAGGAAGACAGATGAATCTGCACCATTTTACACTTCACAGTTCTTTAAAGAGTCTTAGATGAATGTCAGCTGGGTGTGAAGATGTACTGTTCATTACTCTCCTGACTTACTCTAACTTTCTCCTCAAAAAACCCTAATGCTTGTTACCATCATGGTTCAATAAACCATGAAAAGATTCAGTAATATATAGACCACTTGATATTATTGCTCTACTTCCTGCTTCCTTTCCCCATGATTGTTTCTCTTATGGAGAATGATTTGAATTTCTGTACTTACTTTACAAAAGCATAGAGTTGTCTTTTGCCTTTTGAAAAGCTTCTGCTTTATGTGAATTTTGCAAGATCTGGTGCATGATGGGAAGGTGGCCTACCTTACCTCTCCCATTCCTTGGTCAAGGGTTTTAGGGGCCTCTGGAGTGCTCTGTCTGCTCCACAGCTAGTGGTACTTTCACACTTTGCTGAAAATGGGCCTTTTCCTTTCTTGTTGCTGGTGGTGTGGTAGCAGAGTGGGTAAAGTGGTATTGATGTGGGAACCCATGACTTTCTTTTTCCTTTGCTTTGGGCAGTTTCTTGTGGAGCTTAGAGGTGGTACAGCTAGGCTCCTCACCTGTCATCCAGCTTCCACTCTATCTGACCTACAGCTCCAGCCCAATGTGTGTCAGCGGCAACCTGCACAGAAGAAGATGCATCGAGAGGCCGACAAGCTGGAGGGGTTTCCATGCCAGGTGTCTCCTCACATGGATACAGATGAAACTGAACACCATGCACTGGAGCAAAACACAACTTGGAAAGCCTTGGCCAGTTTCCATGAATGACCACAACTGCCCTGTCTCTAAGTCATTCCTCGGGTTGTTGCCTCTGCCTTGTCTGCCTACCTGAACCCTAGCTTCATGGATAAATTGAAATTCTCCTCCACGCAGCCTTCCTTCATCTCTTTCCCTCCAACTGGAAGTGGCTCTTCCTTTTAGAAATTCTACATGCCTTGTTTCTTTGTCACATGGACCATATATCCATCTCAGTAGAAGATAAACTTCTGGAAATGAGGGTCCACACAAGACAAGGTGTGAGAAGGTTCTGGAACCAGACTAATGAGAATTAAAATTCTCTGTTTTCTCTTACAGGCTTTACATAAGTAACCATAATGTATTTGGACATAACTTTCTTGTTTAGAAAAAGGGAGATAATAATACTCAATTTTTTGTTCTTCTTGTTGTTTTGTTCTTGTTCTTGTAAATTCTGAAAGTACCAGGTCAAGTCCTTGAGACTTAAAAGGAATTTCAGAAAGTACAGGTATTATTATTATTTTATTAAAGCAGGAAAATATATTTTGGAAAGATTTTAAACAGCCAAGTATTGACCCAGAGTATTTATTTATTTACTTATTTTAGTAAATATTTTTACTAAATATTTACTTATTTTTAGACACAGGGTTTTTAGATAAGTTAAACTGAATATCTCTTCCCTTGAAATCCTAGCCAAGCCTAGAGAAAAGGAATAGTAGAAATCACATGTGTTAGCTATAAAATGCTTACAACTAATTACTGTGGTACGATTGTATGGTTCCATTGTATAAAGTACTTTTTTTGATATTGGGAAAACTGCTGATGTATCTTAAGATATCTAGTTATATCTTAGGACCTACAGTTATCTTCTGAAATCCAAGACCCTGAAACCAGTACCTTCCTGAACTCAACTGGGGATTTGCTCTCCTACTCAGCCCAATAATAATAATCCTCATAATCTTATCTTCCACTTGTTTTCTCCTTTGCTCTTTTGAATTTGTCTACTTGCTTATTTCAACATCTATCCTGTTCTAAATACAACCACCCATTAGAACTAGTTTTTAAAACTTTGTACTCTAGTGACTTCATACAAGGTATACAGAGGTGCTATGTCTCTTTATTCTTTCCTGCACAGTAGAGTTATGTTTTGTGGAATTTTTTTTCTGAAGCCCTTCCCCAAATATTGCTTTCATTGTGGAAAAAAATCACATAAATAGTGCATAATAAATTAGTAGTTTTAGCTTTGTCACACCACTGAACATACGATACCAGAATTTACCTCAGCACAGATTATCAAGATAGTACTATTTGTAAGTATTCACATTAAAAAAAGAAAGAAAGAAGGAAAGAAAGAAAGAAAGAAAGAAAGAAAGAAAGAGAAAGAAAGAAGGAAAGATCATGTAGAATATCCAGCTGGCTTTCTCCTAATTAGGCTTTAAAAATGTCAGGTGCAAATTAAGAAACAAGATTTCCTTTTTTTGCAGTTTGATAGTGGCTTACCTTTCGAGGTCCTGTGCTCTTTAGCTCAAACACATCCATTGTGTAATTTACTCTACGTCCATAGTGGTCAAACTGAACATTCCCAGTCAGCCCTTGAATCCGAACCTATGAGAAAAAGAGAAAACCTATGCATGTATTTGTTTGCCACTTCACTACTAGAAATCTCAACTTCAGCTGCTGGGCTTATGACCACACACTGTGTGGAACTATAAGCCAAAACCACTCACTGGAATGCCATTGAGCATTTGAGTTTTGGAGTTAGAACCTGAAAGAGGGATATCACATTGAGGTAAAAGTGATTCTGCTTTATACCTAGAAGATGAATACACTTCATTTCTTTTTATATTGTAAAGTTTCCCTTTTAACAACAAGATTCTTCCTCAATATTGAAGTATTCTTTATAGAATAGAAATGTCATTTGTTTACAGCTAGTTTTCAATTTTATCTACGTATCTACGTAATATATTAGATACCCTTATTCCCATGTCAGATCATATTTTCTCCTTGATAATACCAAGATATAAGAAACTAAAAAGTTGAATGTATTTTTGAAAAAATTCAAGTACATTTGATCCCAAATTTCCTTTTCATTCACTTTTACTTATGCTTTACCATGGCATTTAAAAACTTTTAAATTATAATATTTATATATGTAACATTCTGATATAATATATAGCATTATTTGATAAATGGTATCCATATAATTATAAAAGAACAAAATAAATTGATTACTTAATACAAAGTGACAATTTAAAGATCTTCTGAAGTAGTCATTAGCTGTGTTTGCCAAATATTTCTTGTTCTTCTACATTCTGGGCCCAAGGTAGGCTTGTACTTCCTGAGTACCTTCTGGTTAGCTAGCATTATGTAATTCTTTCTGATATATAACTTGTAAACAGATGTGATGAGCCACGTACAGCATTTAACTGCCAATTCAAAACCTGCCTGTAAGAATCTTTTTTCCTTTGCAGCAATCAAGATGACAGCTGTTTTGCCAGCCTGAGCCCCTGAGTGACTATAGTGGGCAGAGAGCCCTTGCTAATGTAGAGTGTGGCTAGTGAGCAAAGCTCCTTTGATTTTTGAGCCACAGGGATGGGGGGATTACTATATCACAACCCTGCTTGCTCTGACTATGCTGGTATGTTAAGATTAAAGCATCAAAATTTTTACTCTGCATTTAGAAAAAGATAATGATCCCTTGACTTATTAAATTGGCAATCGTAAATATGCATTTATGCTCAGAAAAATTAGTCAGCTTACTTGAACATTTCACTTAAACAAGATTGTCACATAAATTAAGCTTAATAAAAGTGCGAGTTACCTGTTTGAGTGTCCTCTCCATGTCAATTCCCTGGCCCCATGGGGCAGCAGGGTTTGCCAGACAATCTCCAGCATTTCCTCTCCTTGAGATATCGATTTTCTGCCTTCTGAGGCTTCGGAATGTTTCAGCCATCACCAGGACTCCGTCATAAGTCAGGGCAGAAGTGTACTAATCGAATGGAAGTGATTATAATGGTAAATGTTAAAAAGGTTATTTAACTCTAGAAATGGTCTGTGGGCTCTGTGGGCTCAATGACAAAGCCCAGTGTCTGGAGGATGATGAGATTAATGATGACTGATTCACTCTAGCCTCAAAAATTTGTACTGTCACTTAAATACAAAGACTGTATGCCAAATCTTATCACCCTAATTAAAAAGGCAAAAACACATTCTGAAAAATGGAGGGTATTAAACAGATTCCATCAGATGGGAGAAACAAGACCTCAGATGAAGACTTTCTGTTGTGTCCAAATATAAACAGCAGTGGAATAACAAAATCCTAGGTTCAGCATTCTTGGAATCTTCCTTGTCTGTTGCAGTTGGTAAGCTCCAGGAGTGCTGGGCTGTCTTATGCTATTCCTTCCCCAAAATGTCTATAGGGATTCTCTGAGATTTAATTTATCTATAATGACTTGAAGTGTGTATCTTTGTTCAGTCTTCCAGAAGAATTAATGGGATTGTTTGTTGTTATTCAAAAATATGATGCCAGAAATTACATCTCCTTGCTCAACAAATGTGTATTCACCAGTTACTGCACTAAATATGAACAAGGATCATTCAGGAGGGTTAAATCATTTCTTGTAAGTTTCCATTATAATCTTGGATCAAAGTGCAGAGACAAAGCATAGACCATCTGCTTTCCAATGACCACCCCTGCTTCTTTGCAAAAAACAGTGAATTCCCCAGGAAAAATTATTAAGGTAAGAGAAGACATGACAAAAGACTCAGTAATTTGTTTAAGCTGAAAATGAAAACAATAGGGGGTTACATTTGGAAGAATTTGATTAGAGAGTTACCAAACACATGGGAAGCAGGATACATTTTTCTTGGTGCAAGGCTGAGCATCAATGACTAAGCATGACAAAAACTGTCATCTCTTTCAGAAATTCCATATGGCCATTTCCATGTGATGAATACCACCTCCACCTGTATGAGAGTAGATTTGTGCTGTGGAAAGTGGAGGATGATTTTGATTTTTACTTGCAAATGAAGAAATTTCAATTGTAGAAAGTAAACATAGGCAATATGACAGAGCAATCACTATTCCAGGGAAGAGAAAATCTAAATTACATATAAAAATAAGTTCTAATGCAGAACCTTTCAATAGTAGAGGACCTAACCATTAGGCTTGTATTAGGATTTATTAAGATTCATGTAAATTAAAAGACTTGCTGTATATATGTAAAGGACATGATAAAAAATAAAAGAAAAATAAACTTAAGAATATGTACTCCCCCTCAAAACTGGGGTAGGATAGCTGAAGGACATTCAGGTGATTAGCAAGGTGATGTATCAACATAAATATGGCACGACTGTCCAAACCAATGCATCTTTGAGTAGAGAAAGTTCATCAAATCATCTTTATATAGGACAAGAAAATAAAAAATAAATAAAGTGAAACTTGCCAAAGGCATGAAGGTCAAGAGAAAAATGAATTACCAGTATTTCATGATCTACAGAGAGAAAAAAAGAAATACACTGTTGCTTTTTCAGTAGGAAGAAAGAAACTAAGAAGAGATGACATCAAAAATCAAATGCACTTGCTATGGTTTTAAAAAGTTTATCCATTTTTGTGAAACAAGTACACTAGAAAAAAGAACAGGTATCACACAGGGTGGAGCATTAGCAAAGGAGATAGTCAGAGCAGCAAAGACCTGGGCTTTGACAGGTCATAGAACTGGTAGATAGATAGAAGCTATAGTTCAAATAAGTTTTCCCTTTTCAAGGGAGGTAGCCCTTTTCCATGTGCCTTATTGTATTACAACCCAGGAAACCACAATTATGGGCACACAACTTCTAGATGGCATCTAGAAAATCCCTATTAAATAAATATTTGGAAAAACTTGATCTTGGCTTAGAGTTATTTACAGCTCTAACCAATGATCAGAATGGTGGGAGGAGTTCTGTTTTCCAGGGTATAAGACAGAGATGAGCAGAATCATACTAAGTGGAAAGAATGTGGGCTTTGAAAAGAAAGAACTGAGATGAATTCTAATTCTGCTACTCATGGATGAATGGAAGAAAATGTGAAACCCCTTTTTTTCAGTTATGAAACATTAAACAGAGGAGTTAAATAAGAAAAGATAACAACAACTATATACCATGGTCTTTTCCAGGATGAAATTTTGTATCATATTTGAGAACTCTAAGAAAGATGTACTGAAACAGTGGGTAGGAACTGGAAGAACGACAAAGGAGAGTGATAGATGGTTATTGCCCCAAAGGAGTTAATAGTTGTGAAACAGTAAGTATGCAAAGAAATAATGTTAAATCCTTGGTGAGAATTACACACTCAAATATTATGGAGAGTACAAAGGAGAAAGAAATGGACATTTACTGGAGAAAAAAGAAAAAGTTTCAAAGAGAAATTGAAATTGAGATAAAGCTTTGGAAGATGGTTGGATCTAGACAGGCAGAAATGAAGGTGGAGGACAATGGAAATGGAATCCCAGTCCTGGAGTGAGACAAGCATAGGGGCAGTTCTGATTGGAGCATTGGAAAGAGAGCACAGGGTCATGAAATAGGAATTGTTTAGCCTGCATTGGTGGAAGATATTTATTCCAGAAGATTGTTTAAAGCAGATATGTTTTAATATCAGAAATCATGTTGTTAATCTTGGCTGAAAAACTAAACAATTAATTACAATTGATCCTCATTATTTGCAGATTCTGTGTTTTTAAACTTGCCTACTTGCTAGTATTTGTTTTGTGATCCTCAAATCAATACTGGCAATCCTTTTTTTTTTTGGTTATTTGTGGTCATGTATGGAGTAGTAAAAATCTGAATTCACTCAACATTGCAGATTCCCAGTTGTGATTGAACAAGGAAACACTTCCTTTTCTTGTTTCTGCTCACATATTGGAAGCAAATAGCCTTTCTGTGGTCTATTTAGTGCTGTTTTTGCCAATTTTGTGCTTTTTGTTGATAATTTTACTGTTTAAAATGGACCTAAAGCATAGTGTTGAGTGCTGTCTAATATTTATAAGTGCAAGAAGGTTGTGATGTGTTTATGAAGAAAATATGAATGTTAAACAAGCTTTATTAAGGCACAAGTTATAGAGTGGCTGGCCTTTAGTGCAATGATAATGAGTCAAGGACACATTAAACAGAAACACATAAACCAAGGTTATGCATTGACTGGTTGATGAAAAGGTTATATCCAGAGGCTCACAAAAGGTAACCCTATATTCTCCTAAGTGCAATGGCTTCATATTTACAGATTCATTATTTGTAGAGACTTTATATAACTATCATAAATACTGAAAATTGACTGTATATATTTAATAATTGGCTTCTAAATGCATAGAATCATGACAAGAGCTATGAATAATTACATATATTTATATGCATATATATTTGATATCTATTATATTGTGTCATAAAAGCTGTGTTTGTGAAAATATTGAAAATTGGCTTAAATTTAAATAGGTGTCAACAAAGTAGATTATCACAAACAAATGCCATAAACTAAGCTGTGGCCCAGACAAGTCTAGTTGGAGATTGTCAAACAGGAGACATTAAAAACGATTCTATGCTAGTATTTCATGAATTTGGTCCTCAATTTGAGGATAGCCAGTTAACATATCCATTTAACTTCTTGCATGTATTAATCTTCAATATCAGAAAGTAGGAATGCAGTGCTTGGCAGAGTGAATTCCCAATAAATGCTTTGTTTTGAAATTCCATGATTTTTTTTTTTTTAGAGAGAGAGAGAGAGAGAGAGAAAAAGAAAGAGAGAGAATTTTTTGAATATTCATTTTTTAGTTTTCGGTGGACACAACATCTTTATTTTATTTTTATGTGGTGCTGAGGATTGAACCCAGCGCCCCTACAGCTTGAGCCACATCCCCAGCCCTCCATGATTTTTATAGGGTAACCATCCAGATCCCAATATGGTAGTGGGGAAGTTGACAGTAGCAGTATGAAAAATTTTATAATTAAGAAATGGAATAGCTGAGACTCTCTGCGAGTAGATCTTAGTCTGTGCTTGAACGACCAAATTGTGTTTTAAGTCTCTACTGAAAAACACTGTCAGTGAGAGATTAGTAAATATTGATGGTGATGATGTCTTATTATGTGGGAGCTCACAAAACTGGAGTTGATATGTTATGCCATTATTTAATGATGTCTTAGAAAATCAGCTGTCATTTTTGATGAGAAAAAATGTACTCATTACCAGAAATTTACCAGCTTCCTTTGAAAATATTAACAAACACAACATGTAGTGTTTGTCAGAGAAAGAGTCAATGAATATGACTTTTACTGTTATTTTTAAAAATAATTTTGCAAAAGTTCTACATTTTGCATTTCTACCAATTTCCCAATATTTCTACTCTTTATAAATAATCATTTTGCAGATATAGTTATTATCAAGGTAGAAAAATTAATAGTGGCCATTCACATTTGAAATAGTTAGAAAACAATGACCTATAAGTAAATTGGATATTCAAAAATAAAGTTATAAGAATAGTGCACTGTTTGAGTTAATATCTAAAAAACCCTTAAATACAGAAATTTAGAAATTTTGCTTGGGCAGTGCAGTATAATACCAAAGAGTTGCTTTCCCGAGCCATGCCATATCTGATGAAATGTTAGAGAAACTGTATAATGAACTTTTTATCATAAATTTTAAAAATACTAACAGTACATGAAATAAAAACAAACAAATACCTTTGGGGGAGTCTCAGATCCTGGATACTCTCTCTGATCTAGTTTCTTCCAGCGATCCATTAATTTGGTTACCATAGGTGTATTAAAATCTACCAACTGGAATCCTGTCACATTGGCTCCACCATGTATAAACCTCTCAAGTGAAATGTCCTTGAATCCCTATAAAATCCATAGAAAAAGTTGTTAAATTTACTTCATAATGATACATTTCAATTCTTTAATAGTAGCACAAATTAATGACTAAGATATATTTTAACAGATTTCTAATAGAGCAATGGCTAGTTGTCAGCTATTGAATTATGCCACTGTAGGCATTGAATCTGTCAGTCAAAATCCAATACATGAAAAAGCATATAAATATTTTCAGTTTAGCTCAACACAAGTATTTCTTGGATGCCTCTATGAATGCATGAGGGTATGGGAGACAAATAAAACAACATCAAAAAGTCTCCTGTTCAGGACGTAATTGTCCTCTGATACAGATATGTGCAAATGTGTATTATATAAAGGCAATATCAAGGTATAATGACATTCTGTGTTGCTGATAGGCGAAGTCATTTTAAGTGTTTTTGGTTTAATTGTAAAGTGGTCTAAAAGCAGAGAGAGCTGGGAATTTGAACCAGAGAATATAAAAAACTTTGATTATGTTAGTTACTACCATCCTGAGAATCCTGGGATACATTACTGCAAGAGAGGAGAGCAAGCAAGGCCATGCATGGGTTCCTGTGTTGTGGGAAAAAAGATGGTTTCCACTGGGTGGAATGAAGAAGCCTGGAGGAAAAGTGGTGTTATATTTTTGGCATAGAAATAGTAACCTGGGTTTCAAAAATTCTAGAAAGCTATTAATTTTCTATTGATTGATCAGTTGTTTTCTGTTGTGTATCAATTATATCTCCTCCTTCCCATCTTCCCTCTCTTCCTTTCTTTCTGCTTTCCTTCCTTCCTTTCTTTTATACCTAGCCCCTTTTCTCCATTAAGAATTTAAAGTGTCTTACAAAAATATGCACTCAAAGCAGGAAGAGGGAAAATGCATATTAAGGAAGTAAACTGATGAAGCCCAAAACATTATTAGCTCAGGGAAAGTGAACCACACTCTCACACACACACATACACGTGTACATACGTGCACACATAAACAGGCTTGGAGCATCTGTCATTGCTTTTTGCTTTAATTTCTTTTAGTGTTTTGTAAAGGATTTTAAAAATATATATATACAAGGAAATTTATTGCAGGATAATTTGGAATGGCAAGACCTAGAAACAATCTGGGTGTTCTCAATAGGAGAATGATTAACTAAAATCATGGTGTTGATACTTTTTTTATTTGTTTATTTTATTTTTGTTTTTAGATATGCATGACAGTAGAGTATATTTGGGCATATTATACATACATGGAGTATTAAGTTACCATTCTTGTGGTTGTACATGATGTGGACTTACACTGGTTGTTTATTTATATATGAACATAGGAAAGTATGTCTGATTCATTCTGTCTTTCCTATTCCCATCTCCCCTCTCTTCCCTTCCATTCAGTCCCCTTCATCTAATCCATTGAAACACTGACTTTTCAGTTTTCATCTTATGCTCCTGTGTATTTTCTTTCTTTCCTTCTTGCTTTATTCCTTCCTTCCTTCTTTCCTTTTCTTTTCTTTTTAATTTTTTTTTTATTTTTTCTACTTAGTTGTATATGGTAGCAGAATGCATTTCAATTTATCATACACAAATGGAGTGCAACATTTCAATTCTCTGGTTATACATGGTATAGAGACGCACCATTCATGCAGTCACACATGTACCTAGGGTAATGATATCCATCTCATTCCACCATCTTTCCTATCCTCATAATTCTTTTTCTTTTTGGTTTGGGAGATTGAACCCAGGGGTACTTAACCACTAAGTTACATCCCCAAGCCTTTTATTTTTTATTTTATGACAAGGTGTCTCTAAGGTGCCAAGGCTGGTTTTGAACTTGTGATTCTTTTGCTTCAGCCTCCTAAGTCACTGGGATTACAGGCATATGTGGTTTTGCCCAGCTCTTATGCTTCTGTGCACAAAGATGTGTTTTAATTTTATTAATTATCAAAGCCCTGGCAGAGGCACCATAATACCATCAAAAATAAAATAAAATAATAGCCCTGCCTTTGAATCCCACCTTTGTTACTTTCTAACTTAGGCTTCCTACATGCAAAGTGAGAAGGATTATTCAAAAGTAACTAGCACATCAGATTTGAATTCAGTAATTGATAGCAATTATTAATTAATTCACTCAACAAATATTTATTTCATGCCTTTTTATATGCCAGCTACTTTGACAGATAATCAGTAACATTCTGATTTCATTGAGAAATAAAGTAGATAGCAGAAAGCAAATCTGTGTTTTGGAAATGGGAAAAACACTGACCATCAATTTTTAGCTACTAAAATGTCAGTTGAACATTTGTTTGCTTTTACCAGAGTATAGTGCAAACCCACAGGCAGGCAAATAATTTCAATATTTTCTAAAAAGGCACAGTAATTTAACTGTTGCATTGGTTGCTAATTGATGACAATATTATTTTCTTTCAGCCATGGCTGAAATGGAAGGTCTGTCAAGCCTTTTATAGCATTATCCACAGCTGCAAGACACTCAGGCAAAGCTGCAGCCTTCAGAAAAAAACAAAACAAAACAAACAACAACAACAACAAAAAAAAACATCTGATGTAAAGCCTGTCTAATAAACAACAGCCTACATTTCTCTTATTCCATCCTATTGTTACACTGAAGATAAGGGAAGAATTACCTTGTCACGATAAACTCATTTTACTTATGATTTGAATGAATGGTGGGTGGCTTAGTTAATTTTTGCTATGTCTGTTCTAGTACAGGAAATATTTTCTCTTTCATATATTTTCTTAAAATTTTATATAGAAAATGGATAGGATCTAGACAGAAAAGCAGTTTCCTTGGAAACAGTTACTTTAGTAGCCATTAAGTTTCAGTTTGTATCCATATAATATTGTGGAACTGAAAGTTCTGGGGCAACAATGTCATAAAATCATTTACTCTGCAGTCAGGGGGAAATCAGTGGGTGAGTGTCTTAAGCAAATTCTGCTTAGGGCTGGGTGATCAGAAGAAAGGCCCTCTACCTGTTGAAATTGGCTACTAAATTGCTTGTATTTCACCATGGTTAATGACCTTTCCAGATTAATTCCCATCTTAGTTTTCCTTAAATTTCCATTTGCAATTCACACATTCTCTAGGGGGAGAGGGGGAAATGTTTAAAATTATTAGCATCAGTTATCCTGCTGACCATGTTAATCTGTAGGTCCAATCACATCACTGATATTTACTAAATGTTCATCCTTTAAGTTTTATCTAATTCATGCAAATTTTCTGCTTCTTTGAATTTCAGGTTCACAGGTTGACTAAATCATATCAAGAAAGTTCCAGTGCAGTTTGCAGAAGGAACATCAAACAGAATGGGGGAAATTCTCTCTCCTCATATTTTAAAAATTAGTTTGAAGGAATGGACTTAAAGTATGTGCTTTTGATGTACATGTAGATGGTGGAGTGAGAACTGCTCCATGCAGAAAAGTTGAAACATAGGAAGCAGAAAGAAAAATGTAAAACAATATTGCCAAGTTGGAAAATCTTTAACTGGAGTCACTGGACTTGAATTGCCTGAATAAAAATGTGTTAGATTGGGAATCTGGGGCACTGTTTCTAGGCCCCATTCTGAAATAAACCATACATACAAATGCAGACAAGTCACTTTGCTCTCTGTATATTTGTTTGCTTTGTAGGTGAGACATGAGTAGTATATTACATGTATGTGGCAGGTTGTGTGTGTGTGTGTGTGTGTGTGTGTGTGTGTGTGTGTGTGATGTGATAAGGGAGAGGTGAAGCATAGGTTTAGTTAGTCTTTAATTATATACCCTAAACATGTTATAGTTTTGAATTTCTTTATGTCAGAACCAGGTGTTTGCCTATATATGAAATGAATATATTTTTTAAAAATTAAAAATTCAAGTGATTGCAAGATTCTGACTTTGCCTTGCAGGTGGAACAAATGCCTTGTTGCTGTGGATGGCCACATAACTGTGAAGGAGGAGTGAATATCAATACCGAGCAATGTCCAAAACCAGATTCCCCTCAGGGTGATGTGGGGGATGCTTAAATGAATGGTCACTTTGTGGCATTATTGTCACTGTGTGGCATTTCCCTGGGAGTTTAAATAACTCATATGTTATTTATTCATTAGTGAATTTATTTAATTTTTGCAAGTAGACAGGCCAGAGCTTCAAATTTGTCTTTGAGACTTAATGGTCTGTGTGATATTGGGTAAATTATATTGACCCTCATTTTCCAGTCTATAAAATAAACATCTATTTTTAAGGACTAATTAAAATAATTATAGTAACAAAACAAACACAATGACCATAGCTGGGTTCTGGAGGAAAAGCAGAAGTTGAACAGATAAAGAAGAAGGAAAAAGACCTGTTTCATAGACGTTGTAGGAACAACATCTTAAAGAGCCTGTGGTGTGCTAATGCCTTATTCACAGTTGTGCTACAGGCTGTTGGATAGTACTTGCTTCAAAGGAGGTTTTGATAAAGGAGAAAGAAGCCTTCACCAACACCAGTGACATACTATCAAAGGCAAAAGGTGATGTTGAACACAGAAAAGGGGTCATCATCATGGTACTTAAGGACTGCTTTCAAAAAGAAATGGCTGTAACAATTAATTAAGATTGGGTGGGACAAATGCTTTGAAGTAGAGACAGTGGCCAAGCTAAAGCTTCCAAGAGAAAAGCAGGTGTTTGGGAGTCAGTTTGATTAGGAGAACAGTTACACATGGGGTGGGCTCTGCATTGAGTAGGAATAAAGTCATTTCTTTTTTTTCCCTGTGGTACTGGGGAGTGTGTGTGTGTGTGTGTGTGTGTGTGTGTGTGTGTGTGTGCATGTTAAAGCACTAAGGGTGCTTTAACACTGAGCTATATCCCCAGCCCTCCTTATTTTTTATTTTGAGACAGGGTTTTTGCTAATTTGCTGAGGTTGACTTCCAATGTGTGTTCCTCTTGCTTCAGCCTTTCCAGTTCCTGGGATTACAGGTATGTACCACCACACTTGATAAGGGTGATAAAAACCTTAAAGGGCTATTTGCATTAAATAGTACAAAGAGTTGATCCTAAAGAATTTAAGTAGAGCAATGCTTCACTTTAGAATGCTTATTCTGGTAGAAGATTGTGAAAACTGGGGCAATGACTCAGAGTTAGACAGTATGTCATTTTAGAGAAACGAAAGTCCTATGGAGAGGTGAGACAAGTATTAGCAGGTAGGGCTGCAAGTCCACAGGACAGCATATCATAAAGGGTCTGATGTCTTTAACTCTATTTGCAGTCTGGGACCATGGAAAAAAAATTAAGCAGGGAAATGATACAATCATGCCTGTGTTTAAAAAAATAACTGGCAGATCAGTGAAAGAACTAGAAAAGAGAAACTGTAAGGACTAAGAAATTGATTTCCTTACTTCAGTCTCTGAAAAACAACAACAACACAACAACAAAACAACAACGACATCAAAAAAAAAAAAAAAAAAAAAAAACAGACTACATGAACTGACAGATAACATATTCCTACTTCTATATCCTGGAAGAGAACACAATCTATTGAGAAACAATATTCTTTTCTAGTACCGCTAGATGGTTGGTGTATTGAAATAAAACATACATATGCTCACATACAAATCATATACAGGACACAGAAAAGATAAAGAGATTCTAGCAATCTCCCTTTCCTTGTGTTACTTATTCTTAATATGCAACAGTTAATGACAGTGGCAGTGAAGGTCATCGAGAAATTTCAAGAATCAGGGAGAGCTGTACTCCTTCCTTTAGCTATCAGCATAGTTCAAGCCCGTCAGATGATGTCAACTTCCTGTGGAGCTTATTAGACCCACTGCAGGCTGTGTGTGGCCTGAGTAATATGAGAAGGGATTATCATTTCTTTTAATCTGGCTAGAAATGAGATAATAGCACACTGCTGATAGTTGCAAAGGCTAGGGAGATCACTGCATGTAAAAAATGATTTCCTTTTTGTCAGGACAGACTGCTGTATGAGCTGGATGAGGATGATAGTTAATTAAGGAAGATAACTTCAACTCAGATAATGACAAGGCAGACTAAAGCAATGCAAAACAGAATTTCCAACTTACTTGCAGCCTTAGTCATAAATAAACTGAATATTATTTTATTTAAATACTTGGAATCTGTCTTCTTTTTTTCAGCCAAAGAGTTTAATGACCCTTGGGAAGTCAATATTTCTGTGACCTTCTTTACATTGATTCTTGGCTGAGAGGATTATCACCTTAAAAGACTCTAAAGGGTACTTAGATTTAAATTGTTTCTCCAGGGAGTTTAACTTGTGTAAATAAGGGATGTTCTTGGCTTTTACAAAATTCGTGTTTATAAATTGATGATACAATTGCTCTCATATTGATGTCTGCTAGTTTCATTCTTCCCTTTTTGATAAATATAGGTTGGACTTTACACTTTCTGCTTTGATTTTCAACATTGTACTTAAAATATTTGTTAGAATATTTCAAAAGAATATTTTAAATCTTCTGGAATATTTATAGCCAAAGGCAACCAGTAAGAATTGCTCTTTGAAAAATCAGTTCTTACATATTAAATCTGTCTTGAAGAGTTGGTTAATTAGCATATTTTTTAAATTATAAAATCTGAATTGTAAATTTTATATGAAATTATTTTCTTCATTTATTATAGAATGCTGCTATTATGTAGATTTACAATAGATTTTTGACTATTAACCTTGTATCCTGTGCTGGGAGCCATTAGCCAAGTAGGTATGACAATTTCCTTGCCAGCGTACCCCATGTTGCAGTGACATTGAATGTAGGTGACCTTGCTCAAGGACCAAGGCGGATTAGGGCGTTCCCGGTTTAGGTTCCAGGTTTAAGGTTTAAGATTATTCCTGCTGGGAATAGGGCGTATCCTGCTGCCTGAGTTCCCCTTGAGTTCTCACGGGATTCAGACAGTATATTTTGGAGATAGAAGCCCAGTGGAGGTGGATTTGGGCAGAGAACATGGATTTCCCCAGAACGTGATTGTAGACGGCTGGTGTGAGTTCGGGAATAAAGAGTTGCTGTTTGAATCTACAAGCTGTGTGGTGGCTCGTGATTGTGTGCCCAGCCAGACTGCGGCATTTGTGCCCAGCCAGACTGTGGCAATCCTGCAACCCTGCTAAACTCACTTATTGGTTTTATGATAATGTTCTGATTTCTTAGATTTTTTTTATAACAAAATCTTGTTCCTTTTAAATCTGGATTCCTTTTATTTATTTTCTCACTTAATTGACCTTGATGGGATCCTTGGTATGATATTCAATAGAAGTGGTGAGAAGATACCTCCTTATCTTATTTTCAGATATTAGGGAAATCATTCAGTCTTTCAACATTAAGTGTAATGTTAATGTAGCTTTTTATTTTGATTCTTGATTGGCTTCACATTTAAGACTCTTATGCACATAATTCTCAATAAATAGTTATTGATTGACCAAATGAAACAAAAATCACTCTGGTCTTGTAATTAAGAGTCCTTTAGGGATAAATGAATGTCAACAGAATCTATCTGAGTACACTATATTATACAGACATGTTCATGTCAGTGATCTAATCATGTGATACAAAGATATCAACTGCATATGACAAAAACTTATTTTTAAGTGAAAGTGATGGTTCTATTGCTACCACAAGCAAAAGAGTTTTCCTGCTTCATATGTTGGTATTTTGGATAGCTTAAATATGCTGCCATCTACTAGGGCTGTTTATGACAGGTTATGCTATCCATTAGAGTGCTATAAATATTAATTCTTTCCATTTTGTGCTGGTTTATTTATTTTTGTTGCCAATGTCAGCAACTCACTTCTGGAAAGATAGTTTATAACATTGATTTTTTTTCCCCTGCATTCTGTTGTTTGGAAAGAATAAATGTCAAACCCCTCTATTTGCAGTAAAGTAATTAATTAGAATCTCATTATATAATGTCACTGTAGATACAGACATCCCATAATCATAGAATCTTTTATAGTGATTAATGACAGAATATATTTGCTTTAAGATTTGAATCTTTATAAAAATAATAAAACACATCTATTGGATTATTAAAAGTAATGGAAAAGACAAGTAAAAAATTTCCAGTATTTATATGATAATCCATTAAGTTGCAAAATTATAGTTTATTCAAGAAATGCAATACAGTAATGACTCACAATCTATTGCTGCATTTCATTACCTTAGCTCCACACTGAAATCCTATTCACTAAAGACTAAAAATTTCTATCTTAACATGTGATGTTCCGCTCACTATATGAAATGAGGGACAAAGCTGAATCTCTTTTGTATCCTTTAGTTTCTTTCCTACTTCACTCAAAAGATACTCACCAAAGAAATGTGTCATGGGGGTAGATTAGAAAGGAGAAAGCATTCCTGACTTTTCCAGGATAAGCCACTTTGGGGATCAAGCCCTCAAGGCAGGTGGTACTTTAATAAAGCAAGAGAGAATGAACCTCCAGAGACAATTCCAGTGCATACCCCAACCCACACAGACATTGAAGGGCTAGCAAGAAGTATGTAGTGGGCCTTGTCAAGAGATCTATGAGTCCCTGTCTTAGCCCTCTAAGAACTTCATTAATGTGCATGTATCCTGTTCATTAGCCATCTCTGTGTAATATGTGAAAATTTGATGTAGTTTTTTAAAAATGTATTACTTCCAGTCAAAAGATTCAGTTATAATTATTATATTTTTCTTGAATTGGAGAACATAGGTTATTAGTTTAGATGATTCATGAAATACCCAAGTATTGGCAATCTTCATCCATAGAGAAGCATTTATCATTTAGACAGACAAACCAGTATTTAACTTGACAAGTAATAAACACCACAATGAATTTTTAAGTCTCTTTGGCAGATACCCAGCTAATTTGCATAAAAAATATTGAATTCTACATTAGAAATGTGATGATCATTGTAATAAAATAGTCCATGAGTTAGAAACACAGTAGGCAATGTTGTTTGACCATTTATTGTAGCATTATTTTAAGGCATGGTTAAAATAGTTTTAATGCATGAGTGATTCATATGAAAAGTAGAAAAGAAAGAATTCTTACCAAATTTGCAATGATATAATGGTAGCCTTTAACATGCTTTCCAACACTCACAATCTGTGGAGATATAAGGAAATAAAATAAACTATTGTAGCATAATTTCATGTGGAAATATGATGGGGGAAATAATATAGTTTTCCTTATAAAAGTCAGATATTCTAATTAGAAGAACTTTATAAGCCACACTAAATATAAGTGGTTAAAATAAAAACAAACATTATTTTATTTCATTCATTCACTTTTGCTTCATTTATAACTAACCAATTATTTTATTGTACTTTGTTTCAAAAGTAGTTTAATTTCCTTAGAGAAAATGAAAAAGCTAAGAACCAACGATTTATTTCTAAAGAGAAATAAACTATTTCTAAAGAGAATATATTTCTAAATGTATCTATTTCTAAAGAGATTGCACTAACATAAATAATTATGACCTGAAGAATTTAGATGTAGTTTATTTATTGATAACAACTTTATTTTTCCTTTGGAGATTAAAAAATTCTTATTTTCTATAAAACTGAAAATTCCTTGAATAAGAGAAAATCTAATTGTAATTGCTAATGAGCAGCTTTGCAACCTCTGATAGCCTAAAAAATAAAACAAGATTTTCATACTTTTTCATTATTAAGGAAAAAATTCATTTTTTAGCATTTTGATATCCTCAGAAATTCTTTTTGCATTTGAATGACTTGAGTATGAAATAAAGAAAAACCCCTGTAATACCAGAACTCAATTATGTTTCATGGGTGAAATGAAACTTCTGCCCATCTTTTCATTTCGATAGCATCATAGATACTCGTTGACTTCAAATTTCTACATTTTCACTATGACTAGTTTGAATTTCTAACTTTTCATTATTCAGGGTTTGTTCTACTGCCTATGAGGATTGCCCTTCAATTCTGGATAATTATCAGCCAAAATCCCTTAAATTATTACCACAAAGTGTTTTGAATTTGGTTCTAATAGATACTATGATACTAGAATCACCAACCTGTGGCTACTTTTTGATAATTTCTCAGATTATAGATCAGTGTGTGTGTGTGTGTGTGTGTGTGTGTGTGTATTCAAAATATAATCTGCATGAAGAAAAAGGCTCTGATAATTTTTGGCGAAATATTTCCCTCACCTCACTCAGCCCAATTGGGGACAGAAAAGACATAACTGACTTCAGGTATACATGGTGGATATTTTTCTCCTCCAGCTTTATTAGATTGTTACCTTTCGATGATTACACTTTATAAGGAGTCTAAGATCTAATTTGTTGCCTTGGCTGACCCCAAAGCTCTTGTTCTTGGATGAGCACTGAATCCCCAGTTGGTTACCTAATCTGGTGAGTTCTCTAAAGCTCTTGGCCCCTGAAGATTTCCTTCACTTTCTCGAAATTCAGCTTTACATTTGTAACTTTATAGAGCTGTTCTACATTTTTAAAATTGCCAGATGTGCCATCAAGAAAAGGACAAGCAATAAAAAGATAAACTTATAAAGAGAGTTGAATAAAGAAGCATTTTAATGAATTGTTGTATTGGATGATCCAAACCTGTGTGATTTAGTATGAGTGTAGCAGGTTAGAGCCATTTTATTGTTTGGGATTCTCAGATATAGCTTGTGTAAAAGGGGAAGGGTAAACTTGATAATTGGTACTTGGTTAGGAAACTGCATACTCTAGTACTGAGTCTACCATAGATTCCTGCACTTTGGCCTCAGCAGGGATTGTTGCATTATTTTTTTCTTTCTGATTCACTACCACTTTCTCTTGTATGATTATTTAAGTCTTCTCTGCACTCTCTTTAAGCCTCCATGCCCAACCTGCTTCTTTTTATAACACTCTCAACTTATGGTCTTTGCATGACTACAGTCAAACACTTATGCCAGTTTTATAAAATATTCACTTTAAGGTATAATACAGTTGTAAATGTTAAAATATGTGGAACCACTGGAAAATTGGTACTGGGTATTTCCATAAAAATCATTACTGTCCATCAAAGAACTGTAATCAATTAAAGCCACAAATAACTGAAAGGGATAAAAATCCTGACAGAAAAGTTCTCTCAGAACTCCATATACCTCAAGACAGGAGAATGTAGAGGTGAAGAGGCTGCATCTTTTAAATAGAAACAGATGATACATCTAGACAAAGAATAACAACCCAGAGTCTGTTTAGAGTTCTGAAGATTAGATGAGGAAGGATACACGTTACATTGATCTCTGCTTTCAAAAGGCCCATCTTCACAAGAATTAAACATGTTATTGATTAATTGAATCCTTTAATTACTTTTTTTGTTTATTTTCAGTAAATAAATAATTCTTTAGAAACATCAATGGTGTTGGCTGAATAATTTAGTTTTAAACTCAGGGTTATGTATATTTATAAGTTAAATACCAGATATAAACACTGTAATTGTTTTATTAACAAATTATGGCTTCATCAGTCTTTGTGAGTGTAACTTCTAAGTCTTTTTTCTTTAATTAAAGTTAGAAAAAAATATATCCAAAGCACCATTTCTTCATGAGTTCACCTGTCAATTCAGCTTAATTCAGTGAAGTGCCTTCTATGTTTCAGTTTTGGGGGTAGGAGATTCAAGGAGCAGGATGGTAAATCAGTCAGTGTTACTGTCACAAGATTGTTTATTATTCATAAGGGGATAAGACCCAAAGAGAAAAATCATAAATATAAGGAAAAGTGAGGAGAGTACTGTGGCTTTCAAAAAGAAAGCTATATTATTTGCTTGGGAGAACAAGGCAGATTTTTTTCCCTTCTTTCCACATTTTTTTTGGTGTATTGTAGTTATATATATTGATGAGATTTGTGTTACATATATGCACATGTACACGATATTAAAATATAGTTTGGCCAATATCACTCCCCAGCACTTCACCCTTCTTCCCCAACTCCCACCCAGCCAACAAGATATATTTTAAGACAATAGACACTAAATATTGACTGAATGGTTGAATCTTAAGTTTAAGAGAATACAAATGCCACAAATATTAAAATAGTGAGGTTAACTTGAAACATGCAGATAAATAAAAGTTTGGCCTTCAATGCATAGACAGATCTTGTGGTAATTCTTTGTGGATCAATGGTTTATAAAGCACTCAGGAGTCCTTCTATAAGGGATGTCACATAATACCTGAAAGCATTATGAAACTGATTCTGTATCAAGCAATACCTTCTGCTAAAGACATGCAGTGGCACATTCAAGTATGAATGGTTCTGTTTTTCCTTTGAGTGTGATCTTATAAGTCATCTGGAACTTCTCTCAGATGTCATCATGTTCCAGAGAATTCACTGACATCAAGAAAATAGTACAATGTGTATGGTTGTGTTTGGGTCACTACACTGGTAAATGCTGGAAGCTTACTCTCGTTAATCCTCCTTTATTTTTTATTATTAGTTGTTCAAAACATTACATAGCTCTTGACATATCATATTTCATACATTTGATTCAAGTGGGTTATGAGCTCCCATTTTTACCCCGTATACAGATTGCAGAATCACATCGGTTACACATCCATGTTTTTACATATTGCCATACTAGTGTCTGTTGTATTCTGCTGCTTTTCCTATCCTCTACTATCCCTCCTCCCCTCCTCTCCCCTCCCATCTTCTCTCTCTACCCCATCTACTGTACTTCATTTATCTCCCTTGTTTTTTTCCCTTTCCCCTCACTTCCTCTTATATGTAATTTTGTATAACAATGAGACCCTCATTGTTATACAAAAGTTAATCCTCCTTTAGATAGAGTTCCTAACTCCCACATATCCCCCCAATGTTGATTTTTAAAGTGCTTCACTACACACACACACACACACACACACACTTCTTTCCTTCCTTCTTTCCTTCCTTCCTTTTTTCCTTCCTTCCTTCCTTCCTCCTTTCATCCCTTTCTTCCTTCCTTTGCACATTGAACCTTGAACCTCTGAGCCATATTCCTAGCTCTTTTGATTTTTTATTTTGAGACAGGGTCTGTCCAAATTGCTTAGGGCCTCACTAAGATGCTGAGGCTGGCTTTTAAAAACAAAAACAAAACAAAACAAAACAAAGAAACACCTTTTAGTTGTTAATGAACGTTTATTTATTTTACTTATTTATGTGTGGTGCTGAGGATCAAACCCAGGCTCTCACACATGTGAGACAAGAACTCTCCCACTGAGCCCCAGCCCCAGCCCCCTAGGGTGGCTTTCACTTGGGATCCTCCTGCTGGGATGCTTCACAATATATTTTGGAAACAAAACTTTGGTTTTCACTGAAGAAAAAGGTAAGGCAAGGTGCTTTAGTAAAAAGGTTGCAGACTGAAACTACAATCTTGAAAAATAATATCACAACTTTAGTTTCAAGGAAAGATACATAAATGAAGTGAGGAAAATAAAGTACCCCAGACAAAGAACTAAGGCTGTTAAGTAACCAGAATTTAGGGAAAGAATAGAAATGTGAGTTCTCATCTGATATTTGAAGATAAAGATATGTATGTCTATGAGTATTGCATATGCCTGCATGTATATGTGTATGTGCATATATTTTTTATATTCTTCTATACTTGGATAGGTTAGAGATTATAAAAGTTTCTAATTAGGAAAAATCCTTTTTTAGTGAAAGAGAAGGGTGCGAGAATTGCATGTAAAAGATTGGCTGCTTCTTAATGTAGTGGCCTTTCTCTCACTGAAGTTCAGTGATTCATTCCCAGTAAAGGATGTTGGGGTAAGGTCCTTCTTTGGGTATAGAGTCCTATGTATTTTTGTGTCTTCATCAGGGACTATAATAGACTCTACTTACCCACCTTATCATTTCAATGCATACACACTCACATGCCCAAATTAGCACCTAGGTTTTCTTTCATCAGAGTTTCCTCTGGTCTTTAGATCCCATTCTGCCCTAGGAAGAGGGAAGTGGTCAGAAGTGACAGTGTGTTAAAGCCCTCTTCTGCTCTAGTAGTCTTCATTCAGTGTCTGACAAGTTGCTGTGTAAATCCTCCAAATCTTTCCCCTTCACAAGAGAAATGATCCCTATCTATGTGTCCTGCACTAGCTTCCTCCAGTAATTAGTTTACACTCATTCCAAA